AGCGGGCAGAGGCTCTCAAATCAGGTACCATGAAATGATGTAGAAGATGCTGTCTGTCCATGGTAGGACTGCAGCGCCTCGCTAGAGGAATACCCACGATGACCTTACGTTTCACTTTGTCACAAAACGACCACTGTTTGCTCTGCTCATTGTGAGCCCTTGTCTCTGCGAAATAGTCGTCCCAGGGCTCCCTTCACATCTTTATTCCTCAGAGTGTAAATGAGGGGATTGAGAGTTGGGGTCACTACTGTATAAAACAGGGAGATGAATTTCCCCTGCGTGTGGGAAAAAGAGCTGTTGGGCTGGCCATAGATCATGAGGCCAGTTCCATAGAAGAGAGACACCACTGTCAAGTGGGACCCACATGTCCCCAGGACTTTGCGCCAGGCCTGGGCTGACTTGATCCTTACAACCGCCCTGACTATTAACCCATAAGACATCACTATCAATGATAAGGGCAAGAAGAGCAAGATTAATGAAGCAACAAACACTTGGACCTCGTTGGCATGGACGTCCACACAGGCAAGCTTAATCATTGACGGCACCTCACAGAAGAAATTGTTGATTCGCTGGTGTCCACAACGAGGCAACAGGAGTGTGAGAGTGCAATGCATGAGAGAGTTTCCTAATCCACACAGCCACGCAACCCCTGCCAGAGCCCTGCACACCCGTGGGTTCATCACAGTGGCATAGTGCAGAGGCTTGCAAACAGCAGCACAGCGGTCAAAAGCCATCACCACCAGCAGGACACACTCGGCGGAGCCTGTTGCCAGGAACACATAGAGCTGGACCACACAGCCCAAGACTGTGATGGTCTTGTCTGGTCCCCGGAGGTTCCACAGCAGCTGGGGGACAACACTGGTGGTAAAACAGAGATCAGCTAAGGAGAGGTGGCTGAGGAAGAAGTACATGGGTGTTTTGAGCTTAGAGTCAATGGAGGAGATGAGAATAATGACCGTATTTCCCACCAGGGCCAACAGGTAGCACACCAACACCAGCACGAAGAGGATCTTTTCCAGGTGGGGCTGGTCAGAGAAGCCCACCAGGATGAAGT